ACCCCCATTGACGACTGCCCACCCCTCTTTAAACTCTCCCCACACTTTCTCAGCCACTCCAGCACCTTTAAGTTCCACTCTTGCTCCACACTTTAATGTGTACAACCTAATTCTGGGGGCTATGCGGCCTTAAATCACACCCAACCTGATCTCACCCAATCCTGTTGGCTATGCTTGACTGCTCCTCCCCCATATTATGAAGGAAAGGCCCTCAATTTAACCTTTAACAGTTCTTCTAGCTCATCTGCCTGTGACTGGGGTAATCACCACAAGCTGACTCTCCCTGACGTCTCCGGTAGAGGGACCTGTCTTGGGGACTCCAGCCACCCACCAGCACTGGCAGTATGACTCTGTGCCCAGCTTCATTTAGAGTTCCAACCAAACAATTACCTCAGCCCTCCCCCAGGAACATCTTGGGCCTGCAATTTTGGCTTCTCACCCTGTATAGCAACTACTGTTTTTAACAAGTCTACAGATTTTTGTGTTCTTGTACAGGTTCTTCCTCGTATAACATTCCACCCAGGAGACTACTATCTCCAGGCATCACAGATTGGATATATGTATAAAAGAGAACCTGCCACACTCACCTTAGCTGTATTACTAGGGTTAGAGTTGCAACGGGGATAGGAACAGGGACTACAGCTCTAGTGTTGGGAAACCAACATCTAGGCTCAATTACAGGCGTCAGTAGATCAAGATTTAAAAGAAATAGAAACATCTGTAATGGCTTTACAGGCATCTCTGACGTCTTTATCTGAGGTAGTCCTACAAAACAGAAGAGTACTAGACCTCCTATTTATGAAGGAGGGTGGCTTATGTGCTGCTCTCAAAGAAGAATGCTGTTTTTATGCCGACCACTCAGGAGTTGTCAGAGAGTCCATGACTAAGCTAAGAGAATGCCTCAAAGAGAGAGAAAAGGAGTGCCTCAGAGAAACTACCTTCTCTTCCATGTGGGAGGGTCTCTTCCCTTACATTGCCCCTCTCTTGATACCTCCAGCTGCTTTATTGCTACTCCTTACTGTAGGCCCTTGTATTTTCCAGAGGATCATGACACTCCTTAATAACAGGATTGACGCGTTTATGGCAAAGCCCATTCAGGTACATTACCATCAATTGGAGATGTCAGAACAACAAACTTATCAGGAAAGAACATCCACCGCTGGCCCACATAATGATGTGGCCCTAATGCCTTGAGGCACTGGACGGGCAGCCAGAGACGGGCAACTTGGACATTTGTGTCACACCGCCAAGCTGCCTAAGACAGGCACGGGACCAACTGCTGTCCTGCAGGACCATGATGGGAAAGGCCTGGTTGGGGTCACAAATAAGAGTCCATGACCCAAGACAGGCACCATCCTCACAAGGCCTGCCATACTCTTGATATTATAATAAGGGAGGAGATGTAGGGAGCGGCATATTGGGCCTCTGCCGCGTCCACCTACATTTCCCATGTTCTTCACGTCTGCCTACATTACCCATAATCCCCTCATGCTTACGTCACATATCCAGATGTGACGATAACCTATCAGATAGCACCCCGTACCCTCTTCCTGTCCCGTTGGCCCACCTCCACCCTATATAAGTTGTCGCCATTTTCAGAATAAACGAGACTTGATTGGAACCTTTCATCTTGTCTCCTTCTCTCTCTCCTCTTGCCCAGCCCTGCATCTCTGTCCCTTCTCCAGGCGAGGCCCACAGACTGATCCACAGGCTGGATCATTTACAGAGTGTTCCAACCCACAATATCAGTTTCACATTCTTCTAGCTGCACACAGGGACATTCTCTCACAGGGACCATATACTGGCCCACAAAACATACTTAAATAAATGCAAAGGAACTGAAATTATCTCATGAATATTATCTGGCCATACTGTAATGAAATCAGAAATCAATGGCAAAAGAAACTGCAAAAACTCCATAACACATGGAAATTAAATTCCTGAACAACCAATACGTCACAGATGAAATTAAAGAAGAAACTGAACAATATCTACAACTAAACAAAAATGCAAGCACCACATACTGGAACCTGTGGTATACAATGAAAGTAGTTCTAGGAGGGAACTTTTTAGTGGTAAATTGTCACATCAGGAAAACAGAACGAGCACAAATAACTTAATGTTACACTTCAGGCTTCTAGAAGAAAAAAAAGAGCACAACAAACTGAAGTCCATAGAAGGGAGGAAATTATAAAGATCAGAGAAGAAATTGACGCAATGGAGATCAAAAAAACAATATAAAGAATTAATGAATTGAAGACATGATCTTTGAAATAAGTAAATAAAATTAATAAATCCTTAGCCAATCTTATCAAAAGGGAAAAGAAAAGACTCTAATTTATGCATTGAGGAGTGAAAAGGGTGAAATCACTATAGATTCTGTGAAAATTCAGATTGTAAATATGTACTTTGAGGGGCTGGGGATTTAGCTCAGCGGCATAAGCGCCTGCCTTGCAAGCAGGCAGTTGTGAGTTCGATCCCTGGTACCTATAAAAAGGAAAAAGATAAAAAAAAATGTACTTTGAAAACTTTTACTCTCATAGGATGGAAAATACAGAAGAAATGGACAGATTCCTAGATATGCATGAATTGCCAAAACTGAACCAAGAAGATATAAAAATTATAAATAACCCAGTACAGTTAATGAGATTGAAAAAGGGAATAAAAGAGAATATCAGAAAATGGAAAGATATCCCTTGTTAATGAATAGGAAAAAATCAACATAGTGAAAATGGTCATATTCCCAAAACTGTTACACAGATTTAATACAATCCTGATCAAAATACCGTAAACACTCCTCACAGAACTAGAGAAAACATTCCTAAAATTCTCTTGGAACCCGAAGAGACCTAGAATAGCAAAAGCAATTAAGGGCAACAAGGCAAGGCAGGAGCACCATAATCCCTGACTTGAAATTATATTACAAAGCTGCTGTGATATGATAAAATCAGCATGGTACTGGCAAAACAAAACAACCTAATCAGACTTGAAGACCAGTGAAACAAAAGATGCAGACACAACTAGAAACCAGTCACTTTATCTTTGACAAAGGGGCCGAACATGTTCACTAGAAGAAAGATAGCCTCTTTATTAAATGGTATTGGAGAAAGTGGCTTTCCACATGCTGAAGACTAAAACTAGAGCCATGACTATCTTCATGCACTAAACTAAAGTTAAAATGGATCAAAGATCTAAATATTAAAATAGAAACAGTAAATATACTGTAAGAGAAAGAAGGTAGAAATCTTGAAGACATAGGGGTAGGCAGAGTTCATGAACAAAAGCCAAACTGCCCAGGAAATATTTTAAAGAATCAACTACTGGGATCTCATCTTATTAAAAAGCTTTTGCACCCAGAAGAAATCACCAATAGAGTGAAAAGACAATCCACACAGTTAGAAACAATTTTAGTCAACTGTCTCTTATACAAATGACTTCTATTATAAAGAAATGATAAAAATCAGTGCCCCCACAATTAAAAGACCCAATCCAAAAATGGGCATCTGAGACACATATGTACTTCTCAGATGATGAGATACAAACAGCAAATATATAAAAAATGTTCAATATCATTGGTCATTTGAGAGATACAAATTAAAACAACACTGAGATTCTGTCTCACTCTAGAAAGAATGGTTATCATCAAGAAATCAACCAATAGGGCTGGGGATTTAGCTCAGTGGCATAAGCACCTGCCTTGGAAGCAGGCAGTCGTGAGTTCGATCCCTGGTACCGATAAAAAGGAAAAAGACAAAAAAAAAAAAAAAAAGAAATCAACCAATAACAAACACTGGAAGGGCTATGGGGGTTCCCATGGTTGGTGGGAATGTAGACTTGCGGAACCACTGTGGAAATCAGCATGGAGATTCCTCAAAAAGCTAGGATTAGAAGTCCCATTTGACCAGCTATTCCCCTCTTCCATGTACTTTCCCAGAAGAATTAAAAACATCATACCACAGCAATATATGTGCACTCATGTTTATAGCAGCACAATTTGTAATAACTAAATCTTGGAAACAACAAAAATATCCATCAATCAGGAATGGATAAAAGATGTGGTAGTTTTACACAATGGAATATTATCAGCCATAAAGAAGGATTAACTTGAGACTTTTATAGGTAAATAGATACAACTTGAGACCATATTCATAAGTGAAATAAATCAGACTCTTGTAAACATCAAATTGTCTCCTTGGTGTCAAAAACTGAAAGAGCAAGTCTAAAATGTACAATAGGTATTGTGAAATGGGAAGAAATCATTTAAAAGGAAAAAGGAACTGGATGGGGGAATGGGGAAAGGAAGGAAAGGAAAAGGCAGGAAATAATGCAATTTAGCTATATTATTAGTGTCTCTTAATTCGCAGAAAAGGCACCTTTGTGCTAATATTGACTGGAGAAATCTATTATGTCATATCTTGTACTCTGAGTAAGTACTTTAAAGATAATAACATGCAATGTATTAACTGCCGTTATTCTCCTATAACCTTGCTATGAAATTTTGTTTTGCCTTTTTTTCCCAGCATCTTTTTTTTTCTATTTTATTATTTTTTGGGGTACTGGGAATCCAACTCAGGCCCTTGTGCTTGCCAGGCAGGCACTGTACCACTGAGCTAAATTCCCAGCCCTTGCCTTTTTTTCCATTAAAAACAAAAAAAAGACTCCTTGGCCAAGGATGCAGCTCTGTAACACAGTGCCTACCCGGCAAATGCAAGGTCCTGAGTTTGATTCCTGGTACACCCCTCCCAAAGAAAAGACTCCTGGAAAAAAACTGAACATCAGCAAAATAAATCTTTGTCAAAATAGGGATATTTGATAAACTAAAGAAAGAAAAGTTGGGCACTCAAGACTTTGAGAACGGGTCATTATAAATGTTAATACTTTGACATAAAACTGCTTACAAAACAGTTAAACTACTATTTTTTCACTAAATGACTTATTTCCAAACATGCAAACTAGTAATCCTTTCAAATGGGAATTAGCAGATATCTATGATGTCATACCATTGAGTCTTAGCTGATATTTCTCGACTATCTTCAGAAGTTCAGTGCATGTCTCTTGAATGGCGTGAAAAACCTTGAAATATAAATTTTATTAGGACAATTTAAGGAACCATAAATAAATGTAACTTGAAATCATTTCAAAAGCAGTACATTTTCTTTAAGTACATATTATGTCTATTTTCCTTGGTTGTGATATATTTCAGTTTTGGTTTTACTTAAAACAAAAGGAACACATTTAGATTTTCTCCACGAGAGCTGGAAAAAATAGTTAAATACATGGAATATATAGAATTTGTGCTCCCTTGAGCTCTAAACTATCTAAGTACTAAAAAGGTATATCCAATACAAACTGTGCCAAATATTGCCAGTCACAGATAAAGAGTATAAATAACTTAGAAAATGCCAACTTTGCCCTGCCTTTATTCTAATATTGATCTAAGCAAAACAGTTCAGTAAATTTATTACAAAAAATTAATGTATTACAAACTGGTGTATGGTTGCATAGTATGGTGAGTAAGGATGATGTACTGCTCATTTCGCAAAGCTAGAAGAAAGTATTTTGAAAGTTTTCACTATAAAGAAATGACAAAAGTTTAAGAAGACAGGTATATTTAACCTGATTTAAGTGCCGTACGATGCATACTTGCATAGAACATTACACAATATCCCATTATATATATAAATTTCATATACTCACTAAGCTAAGGTAAAATTAAATAATTAAAAATAATCAACATGAAATATAAACTTGGTTTTGTATTACTTTTGTTTGAAATTTTGTATAGATTTAAACCTTTCTTTACTACTATAGCTAATTGCTAACAGAAAAGAAAGAAAATGTCTAATGGACTCAATTAATTTCATGAAAGCCTGACATAAACACATAGTATACAGGACATATGTATACTGCTCTTCACACATATGTATAACATTACATTTCCCCAGATAAATAAAGAAGCATAGGTTTCAGAGTTCAGCTTCCTTCACACAAAGTCTCATAGTGAAGAAAAAAATTTTTTTTAATCAGTACCGGGGATCGAACTCACGACCACCTGCTTGCAAGGCAGGCGCTTATGCTGCTGAGCTAAATTCCCAGCCCCTTACTGAAGAACTTTTATGATACTTTGCTCAAAAGACCTTGCAATTCACAATGCATTTTAATATTAAGCCCTAGCCAATCAAGTTTAAAATATCATCAAGAAGCCTAACTATCTACCTCTGAAACAGTTTATAATTTTGACACTGGATTCAATTTAAGAATATTGATAAAAAGCACTAAATCTTGTTGGATCATTCATTATCAATTTTTCATGTAAGTTTAAATATGTTTGAATTGGATTTGGTATCCAGTTTTGACAATTTAAAAGTCTGTTTTTAGTATATGTGGAAGATTAGAAAGAATACAAAAAAGTTCTAAGATGAAGTTATTGTGGTTGATTTCCCCCCCCCCCAACAGGGTTCTGTTTTGTTTTGTTTTTGTCTTTTTGAGACAGGGTCTTACTATGCAGTTCAGGCTGGCCTCAACTCACAGCAAGCCCCCGCCTCAGCCACCCAAGTGCTGAGATTACAGGTGTGAGCCATCATGCCCAGCTTCCAATAAGTTTTTGAAAGATTTTGTACTGCTGCTTTTTATTTTTATAATGAAAATACTTCTTAGCCTTTAAAAAACAGTATAAATATGAAATAAACTTGTTGGTTTCAAATATTTGTCTAATGTGTAAATTCACATTAAATATAAAATATGCCATTCATAGATTACCTAACAATGTGAAACAACACAAACACATCTGGGTGAAAACTGTGATGAGATAACTTAAAAGAATTAAAACACACATAACCATAATCTCATTTTTCCACATTTATTGTTGAAGCGTAAGAATATCTTTCAATACAAAAGGTAAAAGCTTCTTAATTTGTTGTTTATTTCTGTATTTGTTATGGCAATGACATGTTTATTTTTTCTATAGAAGGAAGATATTTAGTAGATCAAGACATATAATACCTATATTTTTAAGACTCTCATTACAATAACTAGGTTCTAGAAGTCTACTTGGAAATATTTGTAAAAGTTACCTTAAACTAGTACAAGTACATGATATTGGTAAATCTTCATTTAAAAATCTAGTCTGACTCATGTATTTGCATTATACTAATTACCTTAATTTCTTAAATATATAAAACATTTACAAGTTTCAAAATGTTTCAGGGCACTTAATTCCTTTTACTTAAAAAAGAACTTAAAAAGTATTATGAAATACTTCAACAACTTTACTTCTTAATAACAGAAACAAAAACACTTGAATTTATCTTCATTCAATTTGATTTCAATTAATTTATTTCAGTGAAGTATAAGACTTCACATCAAAGTATTATTAGATAGGGGCTGGGGATTTAGGTCAGCGGCATAAGCGTCTGCCTTACAAGCATGCAGTCGTGAGTTTGATACCCAGTACCAAAAAAAAAAAAAAAAGAACAACATATTTATGACATGATGTATAAGGAGTATAAGACCCTGCTTGGGAACTTAACTAGTTAATTAACTTCAAAACTATATGTGAGCCAGGGAAATTACCTAATTCATGATTTATCTAGTTTAGATGACCAGTTTTGCAAATTTTTCAACTGTAAGACTTATGCTCTCCAGTCAGGCATGGTACCACATGTCTGTAATCCAAGCATTCAGGAGGCTGAGGCAGGAGAATCATTGTGAGCTCAGGGCCAGCTTGGGCTACATAGCCAGTTCCAGATCATCCAGAATTACACAGTGAGACTTTGTCTCAAAAAAAGGAAAGAAGCAAAGAAAGAAAAGGAAAGAAAGATTTGTAATCTCTTATCTAGAATCTCATGATTGACAGTGAAATAAAATAAACATTCTAATATCATATTTGACTTTATTGCCTTAAGTACTTTGGCTGATAGCTTGTTATAGTCCTTTTAGCATTCCAAATAATGACCAGTTAGCCATTTACATGTAACACAGAAAATCTTCAAATTTACCTCAAGTTTAGCATCCAGTTCAGCATCAGATGCCACCACGTGCTCATCCTCTTTTTTTCCTGTTGCTTTGATGAAGACCTGTTTAGTTTCCCAGTACTTCTTCTGCATTCTGCTGACTACTGACTGGCTGTCTTCTGCTCTGGGTTGCCCAGGGGACTCCATGGAGTAACTACAATGAATACAGAAAAATTAGCTCCCTGAAAAAGAAAAAAACTCTGTTCAATAAAAAGTATCTATTTCACTACTTGACAAATTGACAAAGTAAAAAAGATATTAAATATTAATGCTCACAAACATCCTACTGCTTGCTTTGAATAGTCTAAATCTGTTATAATTATAACCTGAAGAAAAAGATTAATGATACTTATATTAATTTTAGTTAGGTAACAAAGCTATAAAACTTATGATTTTATAATTATGAATGGAAAGAATTCTATTGACCAATACCTACTTGTAGAAATGCACTAATTTCTGACTTTTGCATTTATAGTAATACTGTAAAATTAAGAAATCTGCATGTACATCTGTATACTTCACTATCATTCCCTTTGGGAAACTCTATAGTTGTAATTGTTATGTCATATGAATACAACTTAATAAATATTCTTCAATATGCAAAGTCTCAGATACATAAAAATGCCTCAAAAAATATTTTAAGAAGTTTCTAGTAAGATGGTGGAATAGTAAGCAGTAAAGAAACACCCTCTCCAAGATTTGGATTCAGAGGCTGGAGTATAACAATATGAGGAAGAAGAGGAGGAGGGAAGTGGTCCCTGGAATCCAGCAAAGATTTGAAGCAAGAACTGGAGCCCATAGAGAAAGCGAAGAGGGACCTCAGCACAGCGCAGGGACATGGCAAGCACTGCTTTCTCCATGAGCCCCAGCTCACAGTATGAACCTGCAGAGGCACAGTGGCTACTGCAGAGGGCCCCTGGACAAGCACACCAGTAAAATGAAGTGGTGGATGCTGTGGTCTGTAGTGGTTGGCAGGTTATCCTGGTTAAAGTATCTCCCAGGAAAAGGCAATTGGCTGGTTGCCATTCTGGAAAGAGGCTCAATGAACTCAGAACTCAGAACTCAGAGCTGCTGTGGGTTGGCTCCAACTAGTGGCTTTCAAGGACAGGGTGAGGCAGGAGAATTCAAACCAGCAGGGGATCAGGGAGCCAAGCTCATGTCTGTTGTGGCCTAGCTCTAACCAATGCGCCTCCTTCCTGTTCTGTATGCACTATTTCAATAAAATTCCGTTTCCAGTAAAGACTTAAGTTTCAGCTCCTTGTAAATCCCCTCCCAACCCCTTTCTGCATGCTTCTGCAAGGTGTGCTGTTCCTGGAAAATGTTTAACAGCAGAGAGCAATGGAATGTACCAAGAATGTTACCTGAAATAGGTACATAGCTTTGTGGTTTTTAGCTTTAAAAACTCCACCCTTAGCCTGTGAGGCGTGCAGTTTTCCATATTGGCTACCGGAGGCTGTGTCACCAGGCCTGGCCTAAAATAAAGCCTTTGCTCCAAATTTCTTAATTTCTTGCTTCCTTGGATTTTATTCCGGGGTCCAAGCTATCACAATGTCAGCAGGGAGCTGAGTTAAAGTCAGCAAACAGCTGGGCGCAAACCAGGAGGAAGCCAAGTGCAAAGCTGGAGGATTCCAGAGCGTTACCTGCTGAACAACTCAGGGCCCAGTGGCACAGCTAGAAACCAGAAATGGCACTGCTTCTGGTTTCAGTGGAACTAAAGGCACAAGCTTGCTGTGCTACAATTCTACTGCGGGGTTGCTGAGATCAATCAACACAGATCTGAGCTACATCTGCTCCTGCTCCTTCTCCCCGTAACAGCAGAGACACACCCTGAAGTGGCCAGTTTTTTCTTCCTTCCTTTTTCTAATATTTCTTTTTATTATTTGTTATTTTTGAGTGTTTCTAGTTTTGTTTTGTTCTGTTCTTGTATCTTCTTTCTTTCCTGTCTTCTTTACCAGTCTCCCAGAGCTCCTACAATGTAATCTTACTCCTCTAGCCTTGAGGATTTTTTTTTTTTTTTTTTTTTTTTTTTGGTACCAGGAATCAAAACACGAGACCTCACATTTGCAAGGCAGGTGCTGTGCCACTGAGATATTGATTCTAGTGTCTTTTTATTCTTCTATATCTCTATTTTTTCACCTAACCCCTTTTAAATTTTCTCCCAAGGGTAAAATCACCATATTGAGGGCCTATTTATTATACATAATTTTCTGGTCCATTTTAAATTTTGTTATATAGCATCAAATCTTATTCATATGGTTATTCATATGGTTAAAAATACAAAACTAGTATTTACTACAGTTTATCATTTTCTAGGCTATGTTTATGCTACTGTTGTTATGAACTACTCTTATTTTAAAGGGAATAAAACAAAATGAAAAAAAAAACAAAACAATGAGAACGATACTAACAAAAACAAGAGAGAGGAAATCCATAATAGTTACTTTATTGTGTATAGTTATCCTCTAACTAGATGCTCAGACTACTGGCTTTAGGTCTGTAAAGTCAATTAAACAATACAAGCATTAAGATCTTTGTTTACTTCAGCTGCTATCATTTCAGCCTGCATTCTTCTGAATCAGTTGGTTGCTCTTATGGGGCAAGGGAATCTCTCCCTGGGGGCTGACTAGCTCACAGGGAGGGCACTGCTTCCTGATTCTCTCCTGGCTGGCCCAACTTATTATGCACTACTTTAGCCAAGGTGACACAATTGTTTTAATCAGATGTTCCTCCTTTTATGCCAAAACAGAGATCGCTTAAGAATCATGGAGCTAAGCCAAATAGGCAGCAATTTCTAATTCCCAATAAATTGAAAAGGTATGCTGTTGGAACAGACTCAAAACCAAAAGCCAGCTGCACCCAGAACACTATTCTGAGAGTAGTCTCACTTCCTCAGGGTTCTCAATACTATCCAATACAGCTGCCTACCTTGACCAATTACAAGCTTCAATGTAGTACGGTGGACCCTTGGGCTATACCAGCCTTACATATGAACCACTTAGGCTATGACTAGAATTTTAGGTTTAACTTACAGCCAGTCTTGAGTTATGACCCAAAGGTTGGCTGCTTGCATGGTTGTAAACAGACTCACAATGCCAGAAAAGCATATGTAAGCATAAGTGTCAGCCTGAGCCCAGATGTGTATGTTTGTGAAGGTGATTTCCGCCTTATATAATCATTACAATTACTGCTCTCAAAACGGCCTCAAAAAATCTAGAAAAGAAGCAAAGGGAGGAAAAGGTAAAGAAAGAAATAGCAATTAAAAAGAAGAAAAAATTTGGAGAAATGAATGGCATTCGTGTAATCAATCTCACTAACATGTACAGCATATCAAAATCATTTGTAAGGCTGGCATAGCCCGAGGGTCCACTGTACTGCATTGATGCTTGTAAATCTTGACAATGTTACAGAAAAAAAGATTTGTATGAAGAAGGCAGTGTGCTAGAGGTGTTATTCAAATTAGTCAATCAAAATCAATAGTGTTAGATGATGCACAAAGGTTATTGGTATGGATAGATGAAAAGCAGATAGCAAGCTATAGCCTGAGTTTGTAATTTGTGAAAAAGCTAGGACTATAAATGCAGATTTTATAAGGGCAATCCATCAACAAGTGATAATTGTGAAACATTTTGTGCTAGTAAAGCGTAGTTTCACAATTTTAAAGTGGGAACTTGGATTCACAGCGTAACCAGGCAAAGTGAAGCAGCCAGTGCTGATAAAAGAGCTGCTGAAAATTACATGCCCCACTTTGAAACAATACTGAGAAAAGACATCAAGTTTTCAGCTGCGATGAAAGTGGCCTTTTCTGGAAGAAAAGCCTAGGAGAACACACATCATCCATGAAGAGAAGAAAACGCCTGGGTAACAAGAATACAGTACTTTTTCTTGAGTGGATCAGGGAGGCTTTCTGTCCATCTGTTAACAAACACTGAAGACAAAGGTTTATCACTCATGGCTCTCTTCATCATGGACAATGCTCCTGCTCACTCATGAGACATGGCATTGGCACCAACGGTGACTTCAAAGTAAAAACTGGTTTTGATTGAGTTGGAGGCTCTCTCTTCTCAGGGGATACCAATTTCAGAGTTCACATCATTGGATTTGAGATCTGTCACTATTACAGTTTTATCTAATTACACTGACAGCCCCATGTTCTCACAGGTGGGGCTTTTGGAAGGTAACTGGATTATGGGTGCTTACAGCTGAAGCTGTCAGGAGATAGCATCTATTCGAAGAGCAGGTCACTAGGAGCTTGGCTCGGAAGGGTTTATCTTCCTCAGTGTTTCATCCCTTTGCTTTCTGCTTCTGAGTTGCCATGGAGTGAACAGATTTCTTCCATTATGCCTCTGTGCCATGCCACCTGTGTCCTAGAGTCAGCTGACTGTGGACTAGAAACCTGTACAACCTGTAAGCTAAAACTTCTATTCCTTTAAGTTACAGGTGTCAAGTATATTATCCCAGTGATGAGGAGTGTGACTGATAGTTACTCATAAGTGACTCCTGAAAAATTGGTCAAGATTTAATCCTTGAGATCACAGAAAAAAACCCTCATTTTCCTACACAGTCCTGTGTTCATAATCAGGAACTTCAGCCCTTTAGTGGTACCACAAGTTATAACACCATCCTACAATTAAATCTTTTCTGCCTCAATCTAAAAGAATACTAAAGTTTCTTACATTTAGGCCTTTATGGTCTTGTCACAGGATCCCCAACTGTGGAAGGTTACTCAGACGCTTTTCTAAATCTCACAGCATGGCTTTCTCAACTTTAAGTTCTCAAACTCATGTATTTAGAGATCCTTTTATCCAGTTTTCTCTGATACCAAGTACCATTTTTTTTTTTCTGCCAAAACTTCTGGTTCCCTCAGTCATATATGAGCATATTTTCTCTCTCTCTCTTCCTCTCTCTCTCTCTTTCTCTCTCTCTCCAAAGTAACTAAGCTCACTTATAAAACATTACTCCAGAGTGACTGGCTATCATCACAAAACCAAGTAATAACAAATGCTACTGAAGGTGTAGGGGAGAAGGAACTCTTTCTACATCTTGGGTGAGAATGTAAACTAGTTATAGACAGTTCTCAAAAAACTAAAAGTAGAAATTCCGTTTGACTGAGCTATCCCCCTTCTCAGTATCTTGCCAAGATAGTTAAAATCATAT